AAAAAAAAAAAATCTTAAGATAATCTTATAATTACACCTTAATACTGACTGGGTGCTAACATTAAAATTTAAACTCTTAACTTAATTTATAAAATAACACTTGCTCTTTAATAAATCAAATAATTTTTGTAATATATACCCATAAAAATACATATATTATTCCTTTTACAATTAGATAGTAGTAAAATACTTATTCAAATATTAATTTTAATTTAACTATTGACAAATTATATTAATTATAAAAACTTAACTTGGATTATAATTCACAATTTTTTCTTATCTTAACTGCATAATAAAAGATGATTATTTTTCATCTCTTATTATACTCAATTCACACGGTTTTGCGACTCAAACTTAAAATCTCTTACTTCTAACGAAAATAGATAACCACTGAATTATTTAAATCGTTTACAATAATACACAAATTAGACAAATGTTAAATCAAATTAAAAGGATTAGCTAAACTGCTAGTAAAATGCCCATCATACATCAGTATAATTGACCTAAAAAACCTCATCCCACGGTTGTGATTGGATCCAAGGGCGGACATCATTTTCTATATTCTAAATTCAGGGCCGGGCCGGGGCCCCCATTGTAGGTGGGGGAGGGCAGTGTTTGATAGGACCCAAAAACAGTCTCATTCTGTCTCGAATTCTCGGTTCAAATGGGCCCCACAACCCACATGGGCTCATAGTGAAGTTTTTCCCCCCACCCAGCTTTTCTTTTTTTTTTTTGGGTTTCTCTCCTCCAGCGCACGTTAGCACTAGGCCTGAAGATGGGGGCTGTCAAGGTCATGCAGCAGCAGAACAGAGTTAACGTTTGATGTGATTTTGTGTGGGACCCACAAATATGAAAAGGCCCCCAAAAAAAAAAAAAAAAAAGAAAAGGTCGACCATAGAGAATCGTGATGAACTGGCGGAGAGTTATGATGTTTGGTGCATCGGGAAACAGCTCCCGCGCTGTTTTCGCGCGCTCCTCCGTGAAAACGGACAGTCCCCGCCGTGGGTCCAGTCGACGGAGAGCCTGACGCGTGCACAAGTGGACAGGCTCCTCTTTAGTGGGTGGCTGAGTCGTCCAAGTCACTGGTAATTGGAACGGTAACTGTGAGTGAGTTCCAGTCTCAGGTGTAGTATTTCTGTCTTTCCTCTATGTCTAGTCGCTTTGTTATGTTGTTCGTACGAAATTTGGGTCCCACAATTTTCCTCTCTCATCTCTTGGGGGCCTAACTTTGACAATTGAGCAAAATTTATTAGCCCCTCCCAAACGTTAATCTATCATTAATTTTTCTTCACGTCTACTAAGTTTTGAAAAAGTTGTACCTCTCTTGTACCTCAAAAAAAAAAAAATGTATCTCTTTTTTAGTTTAATTATTATGAATAGTTAATAATTATAATTGACATTTAATAAAATAATTAAAATTTTTTATTTAATATTTTTAAATTAATTTATAAATTAATATTTTTAAACGTATTAATTTTTTTTAAATAAAAAAATAAATGGATAAAATCATATAAATGAGTCATACTCATATTTCTTTATCAAAGATAGAATGTATTTTGCCTTTTAAGTTTTAAGCATGTAGCACCCGGGCACTGGAGGAATCAAGAATAGATTATTTTAACCTTAGGTTTAAGGGTTTTTTTTTTTTTTTTCACTGCAAAAAAATATTTAAGTTATTAGTGTATTTATTATTTTCCCTTAAATTTTTATTTTTAAAAATTTTTTTAGGCCCATGACTGAGTGTGAGCCCAACCATGGGCCCATATAGTTCCACTACTAGATCTAAGGATAAGTAAATTAATTAATGACAAAACTTAAAATTAAGAATATTTACGGAACGAACTTTTGTATGTGGTGTTTCATTCACACCACCTGC